CATGTCATGCAGAAAACTGCAACCCGTGTGATCAACTTCAACTGAAATATGATTTTGATTTTTAACTTCAAATTGAATAATACTGGTTTCATATGAAATATATGTGCATCTAGTTTTTAAAACAGAAAGAAAATCTTAAAAAGGATTTGTATAGAGAAAGATATACTCTTTTTACCAACAACATGTCTTGCAGGAAAACTGCTGCACATATATGATTATTAACTGGATATTTGAGATAACAAATTAACTCCAAATCTAACCAAACTAGTTCCATTTGAAAGATGTGTGAATCTAATTTTTAAAACAGAAAACTATTTCTAAAAATAGTTTTCCTAGCAAATGATATGCTTATTTTACTAACAGTAGCGCAGACCATTTCCTGGGCAGTTTGCCTCAGTTTCTTGTTTTCTGAAGTTTGTTTGCGTTGTTTTGAGATGTGTTTGCGGAGTTTGAGCCGCTCGATTGTTACACTTATAGTCATAAGTATGTTGTAATACGCATATGTGTATCCCAATGGGATTATGATCTGATTTGGTCTATTGACATATTGTGTTAGTTTTGTTGTGATAAATGGTAAACTAGAGTTGCATATATTTGTATGAATATCTTTGATGAACTACGGGAGGCTTGATCCCTTGAGAAAGAGGGTACGTAGGTAGCCAGATTGGTGCAGCCAAATTATTTGTTGGAATTATTTGTGTGAAAGTTGTGAAGTTTATCTTTTCGCATATCGCTTAGATATTGGCATAGTTTGTTCAGTCCTCGTGTTGGACTATAATCCATTGAAGTCCTCGTGTTGGACTATAATTCATTAAAGTCCTCGTGTTGGACTATAATCCATTAAAGTCCTCGTGTTGGACATTTACCTTTTAGTCTATGTGTTGGACATTTACTTTTCAGTCCATGTGTTGGACACTCACTTTTTCGTCCATGTGTTGGACGTTTACTTTCAGTCCATGTGTTGGACAACCACCTTTCAGTCCATGTGTTGGACATCCACTACTTTTGATTTTAGTCCATGTGTTGGACATCAATTTAGACCTTGATTTTGACATTTATACTGTATATGCTGTACATGACATGTACATGAGTTGTGACATGAGATAGTATATGAGTTCGGAGTTTGGGTGTGCGATTCTTCCTATTATTATTATTGTTCCTGTTCTAGCTCTTGGGTTTGATATTTAAGGGTTTGCAACTTGAGATAACAAGGTATATACATGAGGGTTTCCTTGTTTGGATTATTTCGCTCGACGTACCTATGTTCGTGTTGTAAATTCCTAAATATTAAAGCCCTCTTTGTTAGGACTAATGATTTTGTATCTATTATATATTATCTGTATTTTCTGTATACAACGAACCCTCTCCCTTGGGGTTGGTTGTGATGTTACCCGCTATAGAGCTTTGACGCTCGTTGTTTCCCCACTTTCAGGTAACGAGCCAGGTGCACGGAGAGCCGTAGGTTAATGGATTTGCTCTAGCAGTTATTCATAGATATTATTAGTATATGTTTGAACTCCACAATAAATTTTGTTTATGAACAATTGAGAGTTTATTCTAGTTTTTGTAAAGGCGAGGTTCCTAAATGTTATTTCTCCCTGTGTCGAGACATTTGTATTCAGCTCAGATATTGTTTCTTCTCAGAGATTTATTTACTCATATCAGTGATGACTATTTTCTTCAGATCACCTATTGTTTATTACTGTTCCATTATATTTTCTTTTGCCTGTTTTGTACCTACACCTGTTGTTGATTCCACTAGATGGATACTTATTATGATGGTGAAACGTATTATTGCACGGTGTAGTGTATGACAGGTTTGACATTCCTGATTTCACCTTGGACTGCAGCCTTTGTGAACCCAGGGGCGTCACACCAACAAACTAACCCCAGTGCGAAACGGTTCACTGGTGCAAGTCTGGAAGATACATCAACAGTCTTATCCGATCACATGAACAAGGACTTTCCCATCCCAACTCTTCTCATTTTTCTAGGTCAAACATAATCCACACTATCTCTGGTTCACCACCTAAATTCAGTCAACACACCCACACATATCACTATGTCTGTCCATGATGCACGAGGCCCCTAAGTCATGAACATCTAATGGTTCTCAATCACAACATGGATAATACATAACAGACATGTCAAATACATTAAATAAATGCAAAACGTGAAATATGATCATAAACAATAAAAACAAACATGCAGTCCGGTTTTATCAATATCTTGTTATCCAATCCTCTAAACTACTCATACAATTTATCAGCAGCTAAATAATATCCAATATGACTACGGTTAAAAATAAAATTGAAAAACTGTGATCTTTTTACACATAAAATGTCGCAGTCTACAACTACCAACCTAAAATCATAATTTAGTTTAAATCCAAAATAATAATTTTTTTGCAAAATAAATTCTTTTAAATCATCATAATTATCAATAACATAATTCTTTTGTGCAAAATAACTTAACAGCTCAAAATGACCCCTTTTCCGAAATAAATAATTTCAAATTATCTATTTTAAGAACTATTCAAAACTAACCTATTTTCCAAATAAATTCTTTCTCATCATAATAATTCCAAAAGTAATTCTTTTTCTCAAAATAAATTCTTTTTCAAATTTTTATAAATTCTCTAAAATGATTCTGTTGTCAAAATAAATTCTTTTAAATTTATGATAATTATTCTGAGAATACTATCTATCATATCGTTATGATTTAATTATTATTATTTTACCAAACAACGCAAGCAGATAATTGCATCACAAATTAATATATAAAGATAATTCATAACAGTCTAAAATTCTAAATAAAGACAAGATGAGCAAGGGATCTTGCCTCGGGTACGTCAAACGATTTGATGTCGACGTGCGAGTCCACGATGAGCGTCGGCTGAGGCATGACGGCAATGACGGAGATGAAAGGGTTCGGGTGAGATGATGTAGCGGAGGCGCGGCAGGGTAGTGCTTGGTGTAAGATCGTGGGGCTTTGGTTTGGCGCGGTGCGAGATGGTGGTGGGTTTGCTCAGAGTTGAGCTGTTCGGTTTGGGGGCTGTCGAGTATATGTTGTTGGGGGGGCGGTGAAGGTTGGTGAGGTGGTAGAGGCGTGAACAGATAGGGGGCAAGAGGTGTGGGGTCCTGGTGTGGCCGGTGGGTTGAGCGTGGAGGCATGCTGGATGTTTAAGAAGGGAAAGGGGGATATGGGGGGGTTGCGGTTTTTTTGTGAGGCGTTGGCGAGGATGGGGGAGGGGTGGCGGTCGAGGGAAGGGGGCTAAGGGAGGGTCTGGGGGAGAGGGGTGGGGTGAGGTCTCGGAAGGGAGAGGGGGGGCGTGGTTAGGTGTGTGAAAGCAGAGGGGGAGGAGATTCTGGCGGGCGCGCCGATAGGTTCGCGATTGGTTTCGGGTGGGAAGGAGGAAGATTAGAGGGGAAAAAAGATTGGAGGGCGTGTTTGCCGTTGGGAGAAGAATAAAGATTTATGATACTATATATTATATATATATATTATATAATAATATATTATATATATATATATATTATATATATATATATATATATAAATATATATTATAGTGGGATTAATGGGTCTTTATAGGAAGGGATTTCTCTGGCTCTAAATTATGATTAGGACATTAGTGTGATCCTCATTGAACTGGATCTACATATTTAACAAACAGTTTGGTGAATCGTTGGTTTGGAAAGTTCAATGTTCGTATCATTTAGTTTTGAATTGGATAGAATTTTACATGGTCAGATGAGTAACGACGACGGGTTACCAAACTTGGGATGTGTCGGTTTAGAATAGTAGATAAAGTTCACGGGAGCGGATCATACAATGTCTATCATAGTGATTTTAGAGCTCAAGGAGAAATCCTCCTTGACAAGGATACCATTAATCTCTCTCTCTCTCTCCTTTCTCTCTCTAATATCTCTCTCTATATATATATATATATATATATATATAAGGGAATTTAGGGTTTTTAAAAATTAATTAAAAATAATAATAATCATGAAAAATATTAAATAATTATGTGAAAATTAACTACACATCAAAACGTACCAGTTGTAGTAAGACAACTGATAATATGCAACAGTAAAAATAATACAAGAAATTGTACAATTAAACAAGAATAATTAATAAAAAATATAATTACTTATATATAAAATTAAATAATTATAGGATAACTTTCTACATAATAAAATGTACCAGTTAAGCTAATACGATAGTTGATACGTAATAGTAGAAATAATACAACATATTATTTAAAATGATACGTAATAGTATTGATAACACAACAGATTAATTCTAGAAATTTTCTCCGCACGAAATTAATTTATAAATATTAAAATTATTTAAATAAATATAAGATTTGGACTTTTAAATCGTAGAATTTTTTAGAAATTTGGGAAAAATACAAATATTTTTTTAAAAATCATAATTAAATATTTTAAAATACTAAAAAATTATTTTAACTAGTATCAAAAATTCAATATCATTACATGCATGCACACACACACATAAAACACACACACACACACACACACACACACACATATATATATACTAGTATGCAATACGTGCGTTGCACGTGATGCATATTAAGAAACTACAAGAGTTAAAATATTTGAAGGCCAAGTAATTTTTTACTCACCAATTTTACAATCATTTATTAAATACATTCTTCACATAGAACATATGCTAACTGCACATTACATGTAGTTTTAAACAATCATCCACTAAATATGTTTTCATGACATAGAACATATGCTAACTGCACATTACATGTAGTTTTAAACAATCATCCACTAAATATGTTTTCATGTGCATAAATTTTTAATATGCAACTAATTTCACATCTATTTTTTAATACTAAGATCACCAATCCTATCACTATTTATGAAACGGAGGCCCAAAAAAAAGAAAAACGGAACCATTATTTCTAAAAATTATTCAAACATTATGAAACTTTAATAGTAACATTGCGTTACTATGGTTGGAACTTGATTAATGTAGAAGTTGATATGAAAAATGAATGGCATGAGATCGTTGATACATTTGGGTTACATCACAAACTCAGCACAAAAACTTGAGTTACAAAAAACATCATCAGAGAAGATTACAACCCTCAATCCATCTCTTACATTTTTCTTCTAATTTAAAATATAATGAATTGCTATTGGAGGAAAACATCAACCTGTAAGAACCACTTGGGAATAAACATTTAACAGTAGATTCATTTGCCATCAACAAAACCTTCGAACTAAGCCATAATTCACTGCAATAAAATTGAGTAAAAGTGAAAGTTCACAATGAACTGTAAAAATCCACGAAGCTAAAAAGGACCTGCACTTGAAAAGGAAGGAGAAATGCAAGTTTGAAAAATTAATTTGTAAATGAAAGTAGCATTTTCATAGTGTTTATTAAAGCAACAAGACCATATCCTTACTTGCAAATAGATATCTTGAACAATGCCACAATGAAATAAAGAACGGAAAAAATTCATAAACAGACACCAATTTCACTTCAGGTAGCCTATGACCAAACTGCTAGCAAGACTAAGACTTGAAGCCTCATAAGTCATACCACATCTTCCAAATAATTTTAACAACTGAAGCATGTCTTCTTCAAGCAAAGTATCCAACAGTTTCAAATAATTGCATTAATGGTGTGAAAATGGGGTTACAAACTGCATTGTACCCAGACATATGGATTTACACATTAACCTGAAGAATCATTGTATGAATGTGCATATTCCTACAGAAATATATCTTAAATGTTCCAGCTTAATAACTTGCTAAGAAGACCCTTGCATTCTTCTGGTTAGATTCATGTGATAACAAATTACAACTTTCATTGATTTAAAAAAATTGAACAGAAGACATATATAAGAAAATAGCAGAATAACAAAAAATTGATAGGTTATGATATATTTTACTCACGAGACTAAAATTTAGCGTTGATTTTACCTTGTGATTCCTCCTCATAAAGCTGTATAGCTAAATTCAATGTTTGACTTTCTTCGACCATATTTAATTGTAAATCCAATTAAAGCTTCAAAAAAATTCATTGGCAACGCCTTTCATAGTTTGTCCACTACGGTTTCTTTCTTATATGTAACAATTATCCCACAAATTATTATACCGATAAAACTGATGAGTGTCGGATATGCATTAACATAATTCGGTGGAAATGATCCTAGTTTCTGCAACATGAAATGTGTCTTAGCCAAATTGTAAGATAGACGCTCAAAATGTATATCTAGTCATGAAGAAAAAGTTAATCTAAGTAAGGATTCTTCTTTTCAAGTTTAATAAACAAATGCACAACAAATAAGAGTATATGTTTTTTTATACATACAAAATCAAATGACACAGTAGCAAGAAGGAATATACTGCATATTGTCTCAACATGTTCTTACCTTTGGTGTTGTCATCAATGTTGTTCAGGTTTGGCTGCATACATCGAGAAAGAAGTTGCAATAAATCCTTCTATTCAATGTAATATAAAACCTATTTGCGTATCTAGTAAGAATAATATTTTAAAAAAATTAATCCTTTTCCGAGATGAATCAAATCTTCAATTATGATAATGTAACAAAAGCATATACTATACATGAAAGTAAAAGATAGTTCACTACTTCAACTCTTGTTTATCTCTTAGCTAGATGAGTAAAACTTTTAGTAAGTTTGATTACCATAAAAAAAGGGTAATGATTGATCTCTTGTGCAATGCATATGTGCAGCATATAGATGGTATTACTGCAAAAAATTGAGGCACAAAAAAAATGTAGTTCATAGTAGCATAACATAGATGATCGAACTGACAATTCATAAGTAAATATACAGAAAATGAAATGTAGTTCATAGTAGCATAACATAGATGATCGAACTGACAATTCATAAGTAAATATACAGAAAATGCAATGCTAACAAAACGATTCAATTTATTAGATTATACAATTAGAAAGGTTGTCATGCAACAAAAATGTATATTTATGTCTAATTTTGGTTACATATTCCCTCTTTCAGGTCTAGAGAAACATTATAGAAAGCTAATACTTTAGGTTACTTAAAATTTTTCAGTGGTGTCCTTGCAACCTCTAATAAAATAAAAAATGGTAAAATTTCCTTATCTTTGTTTGCATTTGTTTGTGTGTGTGTGCACGTGTGCTAATAATGACATGTATAACTACAACGCATTAGGAATGTGTGACTTTAAACTATGTGAATGTTTCAAGTGATGTGTAGTAGAGTAAAACTCTAGGCTTTCTGTATATGAGAAAATGTGAAAAGTTACTTCTACTGTTATTTATTGATGGCTGATAGTATTTGACATCGTCGTATGGTAGCCATTTCGATGAGAATGGATGGCCTCCTTCTTCTATCTTTGAGACACTTTAACATTGGATGTTTCACTTCTAATGTATAATTATATCATTAGACTTTAAACTATGTGAGTGTTCAAGTGACGTGTAGCAGAGTACAACTCTAGGCTTAATGTATATGAGAAAATGTGAAGAGTTACTTCTCCTACTAATGTTTATATCTTGTTGCTCTTGATCGGAGGGATTAACTTGTGACAACTTTAGTGATTGGGGGACGTAATATCAATTTCAATGAGTTGATGGCGTAATTTTGAGATAACTTATGAGAATTGAGTGGCCAAACAGAATGTTAAATGATTTGAAAGGCTAACTTCAAATTGTTAAAGATTTGAGAGACCAATATAAAAAAAACTAAGAATAACTGCAATAACATAAAGTCAATACAATTTAGCATGTATAATGCTATTTTTTACACCTGATGCAGCTCCAAAACATAAAGAACTTGTCTGCTCAAGGAAACATAAATCTCACAAATAGACAGAGTTTTGTCCATCATCAAGGCACTGCCACGAATCTGCCCCTGTGGTCCAACCTGCTGAAACTCATACAAGTCAATACAATTTAGCATGTATAAAATGTGAAAATATTCCTAAACTAAAATTTTATGCATTCGTCCCATTTGTGATCTAAATTAAAAAAAAACATCAAAGTAATAATTAGACTTTTATGCAGGCTGAGAAAATTTATCCTTACACGCTCTGAAGGAAACCAAAATATCTTTACTCTCCACTCAAAAACTAACAGAAAGTTTAACTCGGAAGGGGGAGGAACAAGCTCACATGTCTATTATAAATCACAGTAAATTCAATGACTTCAGCTAATTGCAGAAAACACTTAACAGAACATAGTGGGGGTAAGCGCAATGCATATATCAAATTATTCAAATCAAAAAAATGAAGTTAACCCATAAACAATAGCAGTTTAATAATATTCAACAGATATCCCCAAAAATACGTTAAAAATGCTAGAATTGTAAGAGAAAAATCATAGAGATAGAGATAAAATTAAAAAAAATTTACCTTGAGAACTTTCTATTCCGCCAATAAAACTCTGACACCTAACATCAATAATCAACAATCAATCAATACCAAAAATAAAGTTAATCCATCAAACAATCAAACAGATATTATGAATAAGAACAAAAAATAAAGTTAATCCATCAATCAAACAATCAAACAGAGGATATGAATAAGAAATTACAAGAAGGTAATAAGAGTAACCAATATCCATACTTACAATTGGAAAAAAAACGATTCGTTGTTCCATCAAAATTGAAGCAGAAGGTATTTATAGAAGCACAAAACGGAAGGGGAGAGCAGGTGAGAGGTAGAGGGAAACTGACGAGGAGTCCGAACGTCGAGGGGCAGGGGAAAGCACAGATAAAGAAGGTAATAAAGGGTTTTGGGCGTTTATCAAAGATAGAGGGAGAGGGGAAGGGGAGAGATCGGAGTGATTTGGGCGTTATCAAAGAGAGAGGGAGAGGGGCAGGGGAGGGGTCGGATAAGGAAGGGGATGATTAATTGCGTTATCAAAGAGGACGGGGTAAATAAAGGGATAATATATATACGTATAGGATAAAATTAGAAATATAAAATTTGATAAGGACAAATTGGGTATGGAAAAGTTTTGACAAAGGTTTTCTCTTTTATAAGTAGTATAGATTTTGAGAATTTTTTTTTTTTTTACACCTCACTAACCTCTTGGTCTTCACTTGCTCATAACGATTTTCTACTTCTCTATTCCTCATTAATCTTTAATTACACTATTACCTCAATTTAATGACATCTAATTGAACCTCTCATCCTTCTAACTTCCACGCCATTATAACTACTTTCTCCCACTATTACACTACTATATAAAAGTTCACAATCTCAAGCTAACAAAATGCCCCTCGTCACGGAAGATTTCATTCCGTTGAATGGAAGTGAGCCAAAGCAAGCAAAGAGGCTCCTATGACCTCCCACAGAAAACCATAGCAGAGTTCCTCTTCTCCGTGGTCATACCTGGCTTCTCCTCTTCTCACACGACAAGTCATCATATCCTTTCATCATCAACGAGGACAACTACGAAAGGTTCCACCAGTTCTACTACCCACGGGAATGACTGGGCTCTGGAGTTAGTACCTTCTACTGCCTCTGAAGAATGATGTGATGCGCCGTTGATGCCTTTTGGGAAAAATTCGGATCGTGCGAAGCTCGGGCGATCTAAGAAAAGCGGATGATTTTCAGCCAGATTTTGGCATGCAACTTTAACGAAGCATAGTTTTTGATTCCCTCCATAGAATCACTATTATTATATTTTTTTAGAAAGACCGTGAAGTACTCTACAAGTCGCACAACTTAGCAGTTCCAATCAGATTTTGGGGTGAAAAAATCGACTTCAAGTTCAAACTGTACGTCGAAGAGTTTTGATCCAATTTAGTTTTTTTATTTTAGGAAGTCTAATTACTTTAAGAAAAATCATTTTAGTACTTTTGCTTTGTGTTATACCCTATACAAGGGAAACAAATTTGTGAACTATTTAGATTGATTATTATTGTTTTAAATCTATTACTAGGATCTTCTACGATTTGTGTCCGTTTTGCTCGTACCGAAACGAGTAGTACTCTCTTTTAATTACGCTGCTATATCATGATGATTGTTTGATATCGATCAAGGAGGCGAGGAAGATATCGAGGGCAACGAGTAAAGCTAGATTATGTTATTATCCTATTCATATTAGATGTGTTCATTAATCATTCCTATCATGTTATTCATGATTGGCAATGTAATTTTTTCAGATTTATTCCATATTGGACAAGCAAAACTTCATATTGGACAAGCTTCTGAACTAGGAAGAGATAATTCCGGCAAAGGTGTACACTCTGGCATTATAATTAACTTTGTTTATATATATTTTCCTTATTTGGCTGTTAAAATTTGTCTATGATATTTGCTAATTTAGTTATTGTGTAGAGTGGTTGAAATTAAAATGAGAATTATGGGGGTCAACAGCCTAGGTCTTTGAAACTTGTGACATTCCTCGGCAAGGGCTAATTTAGAAATGATAAAAATGTAAGGCTACGTAAAATCTTATGTGTGGGCTGGTGTTGCTACATATATCATGCGTTTCACATAAGAAATTGATTTTCTTTCTCATGGTATTTACATATCTCATAGGTTAGAATGTTCTAAAAAAATCAATAGGATATGATTAGCCATTTCTCTCTAATGAGAAGTTTCGGTTATTTTGCTTTTAATTGAGGAGTTTTATGTACATTACAAATTAATTTAGAAAACTAAACCAAATTAGGTTACAATCTGTAGATTAGATATCCCTCTTTTATATATAATGAGAAATTGGTAGTACCCTTAAAGCCATAAAACAACTAACATGTACTATTCTCAAAGATAAAAACAATTGACATGTGTCATATCATAAATAACCACGTGTCTTCCTATACTATCAGAAGATGACGTGTTAACATCTAATCATCATTTCACCTTGGAATTATCATCAAATTAAATATATTCTTAATTAAAATTCTAATAATAAAATATTTTGTATGCATATTACATTATAACTATCCATGAAGAAAAATCTAGCAATCACATATAGTGGTATAGAAATTAACCAAAAAATCATATAGATTTTATCTCCATAAAATCATGTATGAAAAATTACACACATGTGAAATTATGAACATAAAGAAATCTAGATATTACAAAACAATCCTCAAGAAATCAAAAAATACAAAAAATCCCCTAAAGGACAAGAAAATTACAAAAACCCCTAAAACATAAGAAATTAAACAAATCCTACAATGATTGAAATTGCATAAAAACCCTAAAACATAATATATACCTTTGTAGCATTTTTGACTATCGACAACACCAATCTGAGCTTCTATTGTAATCATAATTTAACTTTGTTCGTGCTGCAAGTTAATGCCTTCTCCCTCTCTTATAATCATGATTTTGTATGATCTAAATATGGTTAATATATGCCTAGATTATTATGCTTGATGTTTTTAGATTTTTTTGAGTACCATCACACTTTTACCAATCCGTGTTCAAAATCTAATTTGTTTACAACAGGTATTTTGAATAGTATTTACATGAGAGATAAAAATTCAACAAAATTTTTTTTGGTTGTACATGAATTTTTTTAGGACATGTGACTTAAATACCATAAAGTTTCTTGGTTCTGATACTTAAATACCATATATTGTATTTTGTATCAAAAAAATACTTTAAGTTTTTCACTGTTAGAAAAGTGCTGATTGTGTTAGTTTTTGGACATGAGGGAAAGAATATCACTCACTGTAATTTTTCCCCCTCAAGTCTTCATCCATCTCTCTCAAATGAGTTTCTAATTTCAAAATTACTCTTTCTCTCTCTCTAATATTACTCTCGTTATCAAGTAATTTATTCTCTCTCCCCGTCAATTAATTTCTTCTTCTTCTCTCTTAATTTCTCTTTCAAACTTATCAATTTCTCTCTGCCAATATTGTCCACCCCTTCCTTGAACACATCTTTTTCACATAACAATTTATTAATCATCATTTGAGCTTGGAGATGGAAGATCTCATGTTTCCACGCAAAACTCTACACTTTGATATTTGCTCTATAGTTTGGACAGCAAAAAAAGTCTCATGTAGTTCTCTATTATCCATGCTATTTTTATGTTTGAAATCGCCTTGCAATAGTAAACTCTCGTCTTTTTCTCTTCCACCATATCATAGCTTGAAGTAGCACTTGAAACCCTAGAACTCGATTTCATAATTCTTGCAATGAATTTAGGATGAAAGACTGTGAATTTATTGTTTAGGTTTGAGATTTAATGAGAGAATTTTTAAATAGAGGAGAAATTGGTGGGATTAGTTAACCTATCTAATCTATCTAATCATACTCCCTTTAAAAGTACGAGTTTGAGAAAAAAATTTCTATGGTTAATATTAACCTTAACTTTTTTGAATATTACATTATTATCTTAATCTATTCTAATTATCATATCTTCTTTGAAATGGTAATTAAATAATTTATCCTATTCATAATGAGACTTAACATATTATTAAATAAAGGAGATACGTTTGAAATCACCTTGAAATAGTAAACACACACTCTCTCTCTCTCTCTCTCTTTCTCTTCCACCATATCATAGCTTGAAGCAGCACTTGAAACCCTAGAACTCGATTTCATTATTCTTGCAATGAATTTAGGATGAAAGACTGTGAATGTGGGGGTTAGGTTTGAGATTTAATGAGAGAATTTTTAAATAAAGGAGTGATTGGTGGGATTAGTTTATATATATATATATATATATAACGTGCATTCCGCCTAGTATATGTCATAGGGACAATGGACTTTTCATTTATTAACAAGTTTGATTAACTATTTAGAAAATTTCAAAACAAGAGAAATATTTGGGCATTATTATATTTTGGAAAATGGGTTCAAAGAATTCTTAATTTGTTGGAACAATTTCTCAATTGTTTGATGTTGTATGAGAGGCTCCTTACTTTGTTGATAGATAAACAAAATAATTCTTATGGATATATAAATTTAGAAACAATATCATTTTAAGTGATTGTTATGAAGAAGTAATGGTGGTTTCAGATTTGAAGCAATGATGATTTAGGGAGAAGATGAAAGATGAAAGTACGATGCTACACTTTTATTACAAACTAGTATGGTGCACGTGCGATACACGTGTAATAAGTTTCATGTTTATATGTAGCCCCAAAGTTCTTGTTGATAATGAATGAAAAATAAACTGTGGTGCAATAGGAGAAGGAAAAGGAAGATTTAGCAACTGTGAAGAGGCGAATTGCTATGACTTTCCTAAAGAAGGCTATGGAAAAGTTACGATATTAGAAACAAAATACATGTAGAATAAACTCTTTGTTCATCACACCCCCACACTCAATGTGAATGAACAATTCATAGAATACCACTTCACAAAAATATTCTACTGCTCGTCCCACTCGTCGTTCTTATACGAAACCAGTGTATCCACTATGTGTATCTGAACAACAAAAACACGAAGGGAGAAGGTACGATATTAGAAACAAAATACATGTAGAATATTTTATGTATTAATTCTCTAAATTACTTCAATATGATGGCTGTTACCTTGCGCATTATCTACTTGATAATATTAAAATACTTTATTTCTCATTTACCGCTCTATAATTAACATTCTTTAAACAGAAACATGTTAATTGTCAATTTGAATAGAATTAAGATATTGAATCCCATCAAAGAGTTCTGACATGGAAAAAAGACAATATACATAGCGAGATTTTCTGTACTTATGTTTTGAAACTAAAAGAAGACAGTTAAGTACACCAAAATATTCTTGCAATGCTCTATGGTATTTCCCTCGAGCAAAAAAGATGCCAAGAATCAATGAATTTACATAACAACTTGATAACTGTCTATAAGAAACATCTAATGAAGGAAACACAATGAAAAAACTTCAATCATCTGATATTTTCAATGAAATTGCATCTTCTTAAACAATTTGGCCATTTTATTTCC